CCTAAATCCCGTTTTTTACGAGCTTTCATTTGGTATAAAATTCATTAATTACTCGATTTGGAACTATAGCGGTATCTCCTCTATCAAAATATTATTTCCAACCCTGTAGACATGGAATTGGTTTGTTCAAAAGTGATGAGAAATCACTAAATGTCATGTCTTTAATTGGTATCTATTCATAGATTTAATTCAGAATGGAAATTTTTACCGTTATCAATTAAAGAAAAGATTACTCAAAAGAAAAAGTTTCTACTTATATATATATATATAGATCGATTTACAGTCGTTGTGTTATAGTAAATTCTAATATAAACAGTTGAGATTATCGATAATTAATATATCAGAAAAAAATTTTTATTTATCCTTCTTTCTACAAAATTATTTCTATTCTTTGAGAAAATTAACCATTAGAATAAAAATTAAAGTTCTTAAAATTTCATCATATGAAAGTTTTTTTTCAAAACAATTTTAATCTTCTCCGTACCAAACTAAGATGACTCATATTTACGAAGTCATTCGATGACGATTTTCAATTCTATATTGACGCTAATTGATTTTTTGTTATGTCTATCGAAACCATTGCTACAGGTAAAATACTCAATACTAATAGATGGACAATTTCATGTTCTATGTCTCTACAGTTGTTTGAATGTTCCCGAGATCGACATTTACGAAAAAAAAAACAAAGACTTGAAACTAACAACTGTTAGTATTTTTGAATGCACTTTGAAAAATCATGTTTTCGAAAGCTAGATTTATAATTATATGATCGAATCTAAAACTTTCTTCTAACCAAAACAATAAAGATTAAATTGCATCGTAACAATAAACATAACATAGATTTACTAGAGATATAACTTTTTTCCAATTATGAACATACATAAAATATTTTCATATAAAAACATGTAACAATTATTAGTTTAAAATTTGTATTTATAAATAAAATCAATGAGAAGGATTGTTTTTATAATTACTAGATATAAGATACTTTAGTAATATTTAATAGATAACAGTATATGTTCGTTTCCGAGACAAACTATTGTATACAAAAATATTTAGTTTAAAATCTCGTCATATTAATACCAAGACGAAACATAGTATCAGACTCTTCCATATCTTCTTCATCTGTATTTAGATTAAATTCAGAAGAACTTGTTGGGTAATCTAATATTGCAAATGTATAATCTGGAGGCACGATATTTGAAGGATTTGATAATTTTTTTAGATCTATTGATGATTGATTAGAATAAATACCACCATTTGAGATTGTTTGAATACCCACATCATTAAAATTAGTTTCTGCTACATGCATTTCTGCGTGTGAAAGATTACGTAAATCTTCAGGAGCTTTTGGAGTAACAGATGATTGTCGTGCATCAAATTTTCGTCGATAAAGTAAAGATAATATAGGTGATGTTAAAAATGTTAATATAGTTGCCATTAAAACAAATATTGCAAATATTTGTGCTGAAAGTACACCAAGTTCTACACCAATATTTAATACAACTAATTGTACAATACCACGTGTATTCATAAGTACACCAATTGATAAACAATAAAACCAAGGTTTTTTTGAACAAAGTTTTGATACAAGTGTTACAGGAACTATTTTAGCTATTGAAGCTAAAAGTATAAGTACAATAAGTGTCCACCATGCTTTACCATTATTCATTAAATTTAAATGAGTATGAAGACCACTATTAGCAAAATAGAGACTAAAATTGATGAAAAATTTTTTATTGAAAAGAATTTCATTAAAACATAAAAAACTTACGGTAAAAAAAATTCAACAATAATAAGTTGTATACGTACACCTAGAAATTCAACCAAACTTCCTTTGCGTGGTATACATAATCCACTGACAAAAGCACCAAAAAAAGCATGTATACCTATATGAAATAATTGTTAGGATAAAATAAAAAACATGACAGATTTTTATAAATCTGCCTTCTTCTTCTATTAAATGAAAACATCGTAATGGTTGATATTGCTATCAAGGCTATCAATAAGATATCTTCGATTCTTACCCATAACTTCTGTAGTAAATGCTGCAACAACAAGTAATAAAAAGCAGCCAACAACTAAATAAACATTTGTGTCATTGTTTTGACGAAGATAATAACGATGAATCCATATTAAAATAGGGCGAATGATAAGAAACATAATAGCAATAAAAGCTAATGTTAACAATAAGGTGTAGAGACCTTGTAGTGCTGAACCACCTATTGAAAAAGCACTAGCAATAGCTAGAATGACCCAAACGACAATATCTTCAACTGCTGCTAATGATATTGTTTGAACACCAATTGGTTTTTTTAATAAACCTAATGTATTGAGTAATGTTGCAAGAACAGGAAATGCAGAAAATCCAAATCCAGAACCTGTTTAATAAATATTCTACATACTAAGATGAACAACTATTTTTACTTACCAATAAAAAGAATAAAAGCTGTTTTACTTGTATGCAAACCTTCATTCATGTTGTAAAGCCAAAGACCTATTGCACAACCAATTCCCACTAGATATAAATGAAAAAAAAGTTTTTATTCTTCTCTATCTTATACTTGAAATTCTATAAATATCTGAGTATTTACCCGGAATTGTGATACTAGCAACAGCAACGGGTATTGTAATTTTCCAACTTTTTTTTATTTGGTTTAAATCTAGTTCAAGTCCTAAGAAGAACATGAAAAATATCAAACCCAAATTAGCAACAAGTTGAAATATTCCAAGACTTGATGCTGGCCATATTGCATTAGTCCAAGCTGAAATATTACCTATTCAAAAAGTGGAAATTGCTTTCATTGAAAAAGCAAACAAATGAAAGAGGATTTCTTTATTTTCTTACCAAGAATAGATGGTCCAAAAATAATGCCAGCAATAATTTGACCGATGACTTGTGGCTGTCGAATATATGAAAGTAATTTAGCAAGAATTTTAGATACCACTAATGTAATGAAAACTTGCATAAGAAATGTTGCCAAAGGAAGTTTACGTGGATCTTCGAATAATAAAACCATTTTAAAAGATATTTCTAAGTTCAAAATAAATTGTTTTGATGAATATTTTTGCTTTTAATGAGAACAGATTTTTTTCTATTTTGATATGCAAGAGAAAATGATGAAAATCGTTAATGTGTAAAAAAGAAAAAGAAATTAATGTATAATTGTTACTGCGTATGTATACACGTCGGCAAGGTATCTTTCTACGTTTTTTAGACACATGATTCAATACGTAATGTACAGATATTTAAAGGCCGTCGTTAATCACTAATCATGTGTTGATAGCTTATTCAATTTCTCTCGTGATATTATAAATAATAGTGGGGGTGATACAGGTAGGATGGAGACAATCTTCAATATTATTCGAATAGTGCATTTTTTAATAAGGTAAACAGCAGTAGGGACGTATACCTGGTTTTATTCGTAGTATTATAAACAAGAAAGGTAAAAAATTTCATCGCTAGTTGTGCAACGATGATGATTGATCGTTTATTCATCATTACAATTTCACTGTGACAAAAAGCTTACTAGTATAATTTGGTAATGGGTTTACCTGGAATCGTTCAAAAAGCGTAGGCAATAAACAAGTTAACGACATATAGTGAAAACTGGTGTTTGGAGTTGATTCAGACGCATTTGAGATAAAAAAAGACTAATGGAACCAAAAAATCGATTTCTGTCGTAGGTTTTTAATGTTTTCATCGAGTGCATTGTTAAATTTGTTACCAATGAATCGATTTATAGAGACTATTGATAGAATGATTATGGTACATTCAACATTACAATCGTATAAAATAGATGATTCGAATATGATTGGTCAGGATAAGAATATACTATTGTTGATAAAACAAACTGAATATATTAGTGTTTCTTCAAGAAAACACTAACACATGTTCAATAAAAAACTATATTCTAAAGATAGGTTATTTTTAAAGTTTTTTATAGTTTTATTATTTTTGATTACTGTGCATACCATAATAAGATAAAAACAGTTCTTCGAACTAATTTGGTGAAAAAATTCCAGTATACTCTAGATTCAAAATTTTTCATCAATTATCAGTGAAATTTGTGTATTGATTTGGATTCTATAATATAAATTATAAATTTAAAAAACTTTCATATCACATAGATATTAGTACACATTGATTTTCAAAACCGTATGATATACGCTGTGAATTTGTTTCAAAACCGTATCGTATTGGTAGATCGATATGGTTCATATCTTATCATGCTAGTAACTCTTTCAATAACTGTTGATATTTGTTGATTTGCCTCTAGATTGAGTTCTGCATACTGATTTCGATCATCAAATGTCCCAAATGTTTTATTGAAGGAACATTAATTACAGATTTTTTCGATGATTTATTTTTAATATTATTCTTATAATAATTTGTTTTCGTTACATTCATTTCTATTAGTGAAAATTCATGCATATCTTAGGTAGTTTTCGTTATAGTATATTTTCTTAATTGGAATAAAAACTTATTATGAACGATAACGTTTAGAAAATTTTTAATGCTAATTCATCTAATGAAAAAGCATTGTTAATAATTTTAATACCAATCGCTTGATTAAATGAACTCATTGTGTTAAGCAATAGTACAAAAGCAGGAAAAGTAGAAAAATTAAAATAACAAATTATTAAAATAAGTATTCTATGCTCTATCATGAACAAATGTTTTTGTTTACTAAAAAAAAGAAAAAGAATAAAAGCCACTTTGTTTGTATTCAAGCCTTCGTTCATGTTGTAAAGCCAAAGAGATATTGCACAATTGATCAACACTAATATGTATGTGAATTATGTTAACAATAGTAACAGGAAAAATAATTTTTCAACTTTTTTTCTTTGATATAAATCAAACTCAAGTCCTAAGAAGAGTAAGAAAAATATCAAACCCAAATTAATCGTAAATTGTAATGTTACATCGTTGTAAACTTGAAATATTTGCTTATTCAAGAGTTAAAAATTATTATCATTGTAAAAACAAAGAAATAAAAGAGCATTTCTTAATTTGTTTTTTTAACGAGAATAGATGAGTCACAACTAATACCAGAAATAATTTGATCAATGACTTATGACTCTCGAATATATGATAGTAATTTAACAAGAACTTTAGATACCACTGATCCAACGAAAACTTGCATAAAAAATGTTGATGTGAATCTTCGAATAATACAATCATTTTTAGAAATACTAATAAATCTCAAATAAATTGTTTTGAAAAATATTCTTTCTCAAAATGAAAACAATAGGTTTTTCTTTTCTTAGAGCGTGTAAGGTTAATGACGACAATCATCGATGTATAAAAAAAAAACAAGAAAATAATACTTGATATTGACAACATATGTATACAGGTAGACAAGGTATTATTTTGTTTTGATTAGAAACTTTATTAAATTGTAGATGCAAATCAAAGATTATGTCACATTTTTATTAACTGTTTATATTTGCATGTAATACTTGTTGGTTTTTTTGTCGTTTTACAAACAGTTTTAGTTGGAAAACAGATAACATGGCAAGTGAGACAACAAAGTAGTCAATATCTAAGCAATGATGATACATAATAATTATAAACGAAAAAAAAAAACAAAGGTACAATTCGAAAAAAAATATAAAAAACAGAAAGTATACTGAGATTTATTGGATATATGATTCATAACAAAGGTGTGATTACTATCGCACATTCAATCAATATTACAATTTTTGTTAAATTTCAAATGAAAAATGATTGATTACATACAGAATATTTTTTTTTCTTGTTATAACAAGTCGAATATGTTTATATTTATTTTAGAAAATATTGTACTTTAAAATTTGTTTGTCAATGACCTTTCTTACAATTGTATATATAGTAATTGCTTTATTCTACCGAAGTAATAATACAATCAAAAGAAAAAAAATAGACATGTACACTCAGTGCACTCATATATGCATTAATGTGTCATAAAAGAGATATTTGAGTATATTTTCAAATATTAATTGCTCATACATGGGCGCAAAGGACCCTATGGCTCGGGGAGAATATTTTATGTCGCACAGTGAATAAATAAATTAATTGATAATTTATATATCATTTGATGATATCGAACAAGATATTGTTATCGTAAACGATCAAATACTTCTAAAAATATTCAACTACATTCATGGTCAACGTTGAATATTTAAGTTTACCAATTTTTTCTTTAAAATAACCTATCGAAAAAAAGAACCCATTTTAGTATAGTAATATCGTTTTATCAAGAATTGTTTTGGGAGAACAGTTGTATTTCATGTAAATATATTTTATGGTGTTGCACTAAAATATATTGATGAATGTGAAACGAAGAAAAAGAAGAATATAGAGAGACATATCATCAATATAAAATAGATTGATCGTAAAGAAACCGAATATTATATATTATAAGATAAAGTACTCGTACAACAAGACATTCTATGATTTTTTAGTATGTTCAATTTTATCCGTTATATTAGAAAGATTGATGAAATCATTTGGAATTATCTTTGCTGTTTTTTTTTACGTATAACTTCTGATAAAAGAAAACTCTCAGCACAATTCTTATTGGATAAAAAGTCTGAAACGTAACATAAATAGTAGTACTAGTAATAGAAAGACATGTTTAAAAATGTGTTTCAGTACATAATGTATATGCTTGATACTCTTTTTTTATATTCATGTAAAAAAAATTAAACTAATATTATCATAGAACTTTTTAGATTGTCGATAAATTTATCTGTTTCACGTTCAATAATATATAAAAATACAGAATGAATTTCATTTTCGAAGAGTATATCTATGACGGTTCAGCGAAGGGATATTGCAAAGATGTCAACCATGGTTTCTTCCTTAGAGGAGAAGAAACTCGTGTTTCAGAAAAGTCGACCGATGTAACAAAAATTTACAGTAGAAAACAATGAATATTACACATGAAGAGTATACATATAAAAATGAGTTCTTATTCATTATATCAAAAGAAAAAAAATCCGAAAAGATTACAACAAAAGTCAGATACGGATCGAATACGTTGTCAAAATTTATTGGATACTCTGAATTCGATTATTTCTGTATTTTTTTTTATTAGGGGTGAGAAAGTTATTATTATTGTTATTAATAACAATAACAATAACAATAATTTTCTCACCCCTGTTTTTATGGATTGATAAGTTTTGCATATAGATCATATATTCTTATAGAAATGATCAAATCGATAAAAGAAATTCTAATCAAAAACTAATATGAATCAATCTAATGTCAAAAACAAAAGTAATAAAAGTAGTTGTTAAAATAAGAAATGAGCAATCCAGACCAATCATTACGAATCATCATGAACCACCCTAACGCTCCCGTAAACAAATGGTCGTATGCCATATTATATTCAGAGCAGGCCACTTACGGACTTTTCCTAGCACGAGCACAGCCAAAATCGTACTCAAGTACAAGTACTTCGACTATTTTAAAAGTCGAATATATAGAAAAGCTTTTTTTTTTTTGATTGCTTAAAGAAATTTCTTGAAAATTATAAAACACAGATATGATTTTTCTAGTCTCTCGGTTGTCGCTTGCATGCACAATATGTTAAAATATTAGTAAGACTTTCTTTGAAAAGATGTCGCTAAAGAATTATTATTTATTGAGGGAGTTCTCTCAGGTAACTATACTTAGAATGTCGATTGTTAGAGCTAATCATCCAAATTTGTTCATCAAAAGTTAATAAATTCATAAATACTTATAAAATGGACGCACAAATTCGTCGTTTGGTTGTGACCGGTGCTGAACAAAATGGTCTCTCATATTTTTTTTTCTTTTCTCTTTTTTTTTCTATATTTCAACTGATTTTTAAAATTATAGACATTAAACTATTATCTGATGCATTTCATAAACTTCAACAAAATTTTCAAGTTAATCTTGTTCAAAGTAAAGATACAATCGGACAAGATATTTATGTATTACTAGCAGAAAGTGCTCTTGATGTAAGATTGTAATTTTTTTGTTTTCATATGTAAAATACATTCATTTATATGTACAGTTAAATGCAGATTCAATTACGGATGAATGTCTTCAAATGTTTTTCTCATTAAGTCCAGTTAAAAGTCAATTTGTTGGACGAGCTTATTTATGTCAATTTCGAATGTATATGCCGAAAGCAGCTCAAGATTTTGTGAGTAACATAATAAAAAGAGAAAAACTTACTAACAATCAATACTATACTAAATAAAATTTGTAGCCTTGATTGTTAATTTCACAAGTGAAAAATAAAAACCTTTGAAGCCGGATGTAGTTAAGAGAATTGAGTCAAACAAAAATGTTATTAAATATTTCTGATTTGATTAGATAATGAGACTTAACTTCGATATTATTGATCAAACGATATAAAATTTTTCATAATCAGAATGTTTCTTATACAATCAATGGATTTATTTTTAAAAATACTCTTATTTTTTTTGTTTTTGATTTTAGGCTTCATTGAATAATGCTATACCATTCTTACAAAAATGTCTTACTTTTGCTTCAACATCACCAAGGTTCGTATTTTATTTATTTTTTTTATTTCATAATAAAAATTATTTTTATTAAATTTTTAAGATATCAATTTTTAGTTTACAATGCATCAGTTATCTATTTTAATTATGTTCGACCATTTTTTCGTGTTGGTTTTCGAAAATATTTATGTGATAGTTTTCAACAAGTTATTGATACATTATTAAATATTACTGATGATCAAGATTATCTTTGGCAAGCACAACTTCTTTTGTATGTATTTCTTTTTTCCTTCCTTGATTTTTCAATTGAAATTCATCCTTTTTTTTTCTTCAAGTGAACTAGTTCGATGTTATATTGATGCTGATAATATGAATAAAGCTCAAGATATAAGTCGTCAACTTTTACAATTATGTCAAACAAAACAACTTTCTCTTCTTTCAAATATTCTTCAATTTTTAGTAAGATTTTTAATTAAAATACGAAATTCAAAATATCTTTAAAAAATCTTTTTTAAAGACTGTAAACAATGTTTTTGAACCAAATAATCTTTTATCATATGCACCAATTGATGATCCATCATCTCTATTTAATCGATTACTTATTGAACTTGCATCAATTCATCGGTTTGAGATCTTTTATTTTATTTTAGTTTTTTTCTTTTGTTGAATCTCTAGTTTTTCTTTTTTATTTTAGACAAATTCTTGAAAATAGAACAACCAATGAAACTAATGAAAATTTAAAAATTATATTTGATCGAATTGTTGCATTACCATTACGTAGTGCTGTAACTGCTACTAAATTAACTAAAGGTTTATCACCACGAGATAATTATACAAATCAATTAGAGAAAACATTAACATTATATGAAAAGTATTGAATTAAAATGTTTGTTTTTGTAAATATAAAAATTAATTTATCGGTTATTTATTTTCATTTATAGACATCGTTTATTAATTGAAGCTGGTCGTCTTTCACTTTTACTACGTTATACTGATTTAACAAAAGTTATTCTTGAAGCTCTTTCAAATATTCGATTAAAAGTAATACACACATATATACATAAAAATCTAAGAAATTATTTTTATTTTCGTATTTTCAAGGAACCAGAATATCTTCTTGAAGTACGATTATTACAAGCTGAATATATGGTTAAAAGTTTAGGAGAAAATGAACAATTATATAGTAAAAGTTCTGTAGATGTAAGAAATTATTTATTACAAATGCATAGAAAACTTTATATTTGTTTTTTTTGTTACATAGACACGTATTCGAGCGATTGAATTAACAGAAGAAACATTAGAATCTTTAGTACGTACAGGACAATATGATTTAGTTCAAACAGGTTGTACTATATTATGGAATATATGTTTATCATTATTACAAACAAATCTTCGAGGAAAAATTCGAAAAGCATTAACAACACTTGTTAATATTCTTGAACGTATACAAAGGTTAGTATTAAATTAATATTTATTATTAATCATTATTTTTCTATATAGTCTTGATTGGTTATTACGAAGTCAAGCTCATTTTGAATTAGCTAAAATTGAAGAAGATATTGAACAACTTGAGTCAGCAAAAACTAATTTACTTAAAGTAAAAAATTTTACTCGTGTTTTTTTTTGTGTTCTTTTAATAAAATAATTAATTCTATTAGGCTAAACAATTAGATGATACATCAATATATGCAGATCGTATTAATTTAGGATTAGAAAGACTTCATTTACGTAGTGAATTATATAAAATTCCTGAAAATATTGATGATCGTGTTGGAATAATAATTGAACAAGCTGGAAAAGCAATAAATGGAAATAAAAATAAACAACGTGCTTTACTTATTGAAGCTTGTTTATTATTAGCACAAGATGCATTTCAAGTTGTATTAGATTCAGAAAATCCAAATGGTAAAAGAAATACGATCTATGAAGAGTATTGAAGTGTAGCAATAAACCACAGACTTAATAAATATCTAAGCAAAAACTTCTCATTAGAGATATAGAAATCTGAAACTGCAAAAAAACAATTAGTCGAGACAGGGACTAAAAAATGAAACTTGGTTCAGTACATCTCTACTCGTCACAGATCGTTGTGTAATATATTACGATCAATATCTTACTTAGTGTGGTCCAAAAGTTCTGAGTCTGATGTTTAAAGGACCTTGTTTGATAAGGTGACCTATTCAGAAATGAAGAACCAAATATTCCATATTGTAGAGTTTGTTGAGGCGTATCAAATGGTATATAGTAAAGTCTGTTTTCATAAAACCTTGAAGTAACTAGAGTCAATTTATTGATAGACGACTACATATCTGCATTCAAGCATGATAAGTTATTAAATATTGTGGTCCTTAGTATTTCTCGAAAGTATTTGTAAAATATTTTTTCACACATACAGTTTTATAGAGTTTTTGACAAGCTACAACCTCATATACAAAGCATCTGCGGTCATCTTGTGGGTGAGGGTAGGTGCGGGTGTAGGTGTGTAGTCATCTATCAGTAAATTGGCTCTAGTTTCTTGAAAGTCTTATGAAAACAAGTTTTAATATATACCATTCGACACGCCTCAACAAGCTTTATAACATGATATATTTGGTTCTTCATTTCTGAATAGGTCATCTTATCCGACAAGATCCTTTAAACATCGGGCTCAGAACTTTTGGACCACCCTAAGTAAAATAACAGTAGATAGGAATCAATACATCGAAATATAGATTGATTAATCTACTCCATTACAATGCCAACAACTCCATTCCCTTTCACATTTTAATCCTACAGAAATTGCGCTAATAGTTTTGTTTTTAAAATTCTTTTACTCGAAAAAAAAACTGAACAATGATTTTAGCTATTGGGAAAATGCGTGCAAATCCAACAGCACAATTGAAAGGTTTTGCTGATCATTATGAAAAATGTATTCAAAATACTACTCAATATGAACGTAGTATGTCTGAAGAAACAGATCAAGATAAACGGTACGAATACTACGAAAATAAAGAAGAAAAAAAAAGATATCAATATTTCTTCTGTCTTTCGTTAAGATTAAAATTATGGGCCGATTTAACAATGATTGCACGTCGACAAGAAATATGGGATGTATGTCGAACAGCAGCACGTTTTTGTTTATTATATGATAGTGAACAACGCCGTTCAGTATTAAATATAACTGATCAATCATCAATACCAAATGTATATCAACGTGATCTTATTCGACTTTTAGCTGAAATACATTTTATTGCTGGAGAAGTATAAATTTGAATTTTTTTCTTTTTGATTTTCTTTTTAATTTTTGATTATTATTAGGCTGAAATAGAATTTATACGTGAACGTCGTATAGAATTATTTGATACACCTATCCGACCACCAATGCCAACAGTACCATCTGCACAACGTATACAATTACAACAAGAATCAGATAATGATTGGAAATATTATTGGTAATTGTAAATATAATAGAAAATAAAATTATTTATATATTTTTAATTTTAGTCAATGGCTTCAACAATTATCTATTCGTGCATGTACACATTTTTCAACTGGAGCTAGTTTAGGTCAATTACTTAATGAATCATGGCTTGTTTGTCGTTCAGGAGAATATCTATGGAATTATACACGTCATTTATTTTATAGTAATCGTTTACGTCTTATTCTTGATCCATTATCAACAATTGTTAATGGATTGAAAAAAGTTGGTTTTGAACGGTTAGTTATTATTTAGAGTTTTGTTTTTCGAAAACAAAAAAAAAGATATAACTCATTCTTTTTTTTCTTGTAGTGAAATTCTACTTTTAGTAAATTTATGTGTTGCACTTGGTAATGCTTATATAACACCATTACCAGTTTCAGCTGATGATACTCGATCAATATCGAATGTAGAAACTACTCCTATACCTCAACAAGCTCCTACAACAACAATAAAAAAAGGAACAAAAGCTGATCAACAAACTACTGCAACAAATGTTGTACCTGTTGGATCACCATTGACAACTGTTAAAACTGATGATCTTAAAGCTGCACTTGATGTAAATTATTTAATTAAAATAAAAATATTTTCATTGATATTTTCTTTTTTAATAAAAGATATGTGAATATGCCATAAATCAAACAAATGAAGAAGTTGCTAAACCTCTTTCAGTTTCAATTCGAGATCGGCAAACACTTTTACAATTATGGGTTACTATTAAACAACAACTTCAACAATCAATTAAATCATCTCTATCGAATATTCTTGGTGATGAAGATGTAAGTTGATAAAACAAAAAAGAAAAAAGAAAATTCATCTTTAAATATATTCTTTATTTTGTAAATAGGAAAATACATCGAGTTTAAATACATTATCACGAGCTGTTATTGCTGTTGACGTACTTTCACGTCTTGATAATGGTTGGCATGATAATAAAGATGGAATGAATCTTAAACAGGTACTAGTAAAGGTTTCGTTTTCATACTGATACTTTTAGAAACAATCAGATCAGCCTTTGATATAATCGTCCTTTTTACTAGATATTTTCACAAATTTGATTTTGTTTCTTGGCATCTATAAGTGAACGGAAATTTTTTTTTAAGACTGGAAAGTCTATATTGTATGAAGCATTTAGTCAAAAGCAGTGATCTCAATGATTCGAACAGAAACATTTCGATGTCAATTTTTCTTGAAAATATCAAAATGTATTAACGATACTTTTATTTTCTTTTCTTCTACAATTCAAAAAGAAACATTGAATGTATTTCGCTGGAAAGAACGAGAACTATACAAAACTGTAGTACAAACGAAAGAGGAAGCAACGATAAGATAAAAAGAATAAGAAAGTGAAAATATAATCAGAAACGAAATTATAGTCAACATGTACATGTCTGCTTTGCATAAAAGAGAAAATTTATTGAAATCAAAAATTCGTTTGCTGATTTTATTGCCTGTTCAATAAGTCAAAATACATGTTGTTATTACAGTCTAGGTTAAGTATACGCTGGTAAGATTTTGTCAAATTGTAATATAGATTGGATTAAACATTTTTTGAACCTCTATCAATAGGAGGTATGGTTGTATTCATTATAGATGTAAACTATGTGCGTAGTGCTTTTTTGTTAAAGATAAAATTAATGTAAACACGAATATATTGTTAATGAAAGTCAGTTTTCAATTGATCCGTTGTCTTTTATTTTTGACAAAATAATTTATAATAACTAGAAAAGAAGAAATTTACTTATTTTTCACATAATGTCTTAACTAAATTGATCGTATTAATAACCATTAATAGAAAATAGAATTTGAATTTTAAATTTCAAATTTTTTACTCAATAAAAGTAATTGTAATAGTAGATTTCTGATTTCTTAATTATTTTCAAATTAATTATTATCCTATGACAGAATCGTATGAGGCCGCTCATCACTTTCATATTCGTATTTCGTGGTTACAGACATGATCTCAAAATTGAAATAATGATTAAAGAGATTTAGATCAATGGCATATTTTCATCGAAATATGATATTGTTAGTAAATTTTACTCTTCATAAATCGTTGACTTTGCAGAAAATCTCATATGTTCAATTTTATATTTGAGAAGTATCAAACTTGCAATATATATCTGTATTTTCATAGATATGATACGAGATGTGGATATTTTCAAAACTGATTTATGCGTGAAACAATCTAAATTATGATCACTCTAACTGAGACTTGCATTCGTACGATTTTAAATTGAAATTTGTGAAAGAAAAATATTTTTCTGCAAGGTCATAACTCTACAAGTGAAATTCAATATTTCAACTAAAATGTACTAGCTATAGACCTAAATCCTATCAGATCAATTTTACTTTCGAAGCTCTCTCTACATTCCCAAAATATAAATTCAAAAGCAATGAATTAAATTTAACAGTTCTCTTCTTAGTAGTTTAAATAAATCTACATACCCATACGAATTCTAATATTGTTGGCAAGTGTCGATGGTATTGGCACATTCTGAGATGTTTGCTTCATAGTATCAAAGAAGCTGAATAAATTTTAAATTAGCAAGTAGATTATTCATTATGATTATTCTTCCTATGTATTTGTGCTGACAAAAAAAAAACACTAACTAAAACATAAAAAACTGCTATTGAAACACATCTATTTATCAAAAAGAAAAAGAATAACTAATAAGAATCTAAACGTGATGGCATGTACAATAAGAAAGATAATTTTACAAAAAAAGAAAAACATCTTATCTTATTTAGACAGTTACATTTGTTGATCAATGTACATGGAATGATTCACTTGTTGAATTACAATTATGGTGTCGTTTGGGTATAATAGCTAATCGTGCTAATGATATTGAAACAACTGTTTATTGTCGTGATAAAACTCTTGAATTAATAACACTTTTTCAAACACGAAAAGTAGAAAAGTAATTCTCTTTTTCTTTTTACAAAATAAACAATACTTTTAATCTGTTCTTTTTTGTTTTTTAATTTTCTATTTCAAAGATTTCAATTATCATTAGCTAATGAATATGTTAGTCGTGCATGTGGTGCTCATGCTGAATGTTTACTTAAACAACAAACTGGACAAAAACAAGAACGAAAAGAAGTACTTGCTATTCTTGTTGAAGCAGCAAGGTAAAAACTAAAAAAAAAAAAGAAAATTCTATACTTCTTTTTATGACTTTAACATCTTCTTTTTTTTTTTTGTTTTTAAGTTATTCATCAAAAGCTGATCTATATGAATTAACAATGCATTTAGCACGTCATTTTTGGAATACATGTCGAGTATCAATAAAACGTAAATTAGAACGATCACTTTTATTTGATCCATTAAATGAACTTATTCATCATATCAATACAGTTGCACCAAAATCAATTGTTGCTAGTCTTCATGATAAAGAAATAGTATAAATAAAAAACGAAATTTTCTTAATCATAATTTTTTTTTTGTTTTTAATGTTATTTAGAAAGAAGAAAAATCCATTTCAACAGATAATTTTAAACCAAAAAAACAACCATTAATTAATAAAAAAGATAAAAAATCTCAAACAATTGATGATGAACAATTATCAATAACAACATCAATATCAAATCCACAAGAAGATGCACAAATACGTTCAGCACTTTATGGTGTTCTTGTACAAATTTATATGGATAAACATTCATGGCATTCAGCATTAGATGCTATTGATAATGCATTACAAGTTTTACCACGTACACAACATCGTTTACTTTTATATAAATATCGTGTTTTAATTAAATCAAAATTAGGTTTATCAATTAGTACAGATATGCAAAAATTTCGTGAACAAGGTGAATTATCATTAGCTAAAATGTGGAGACAAGTTGCAATTATGGCAAAAAAACGTGAACATGTTATTAATGCATATCAACATGCTATTGCTACATTACAAGTAATAATAATATATAAATCTTTTGTTTTTTTCTTGCTTTTTATTATTAATAATTAAAACAAAAAAAAAAATTTTTTTTTTGTTTTTTTCTTAATAGAATTTAGATAATTATTGGATTAAAATTGATTATATATTAGAATTAGCAAGTTGGTTATATAGTAATGAATATCTTATTGATAATGTTATTGATTTAATTGAATGGTCTATTGATTTATTATTAACTTCACCTGAAGCTTATAAGCAAGCAGAATTAAATGCTCGCGATCAACAAGATACTGATAGTAAATTAACAAGAAGAAAAAATTAAAAAAATCTTTTTTTTTTTATTCTTATTTATAATTATTTTAGTTCCTAATAATCGTTCATCAATACTTAAAAGTGATCAAGAATATAATAAAACAACAACACCAAAAGCAGATATTGGTAGTGATCCAGATCAAGCTCATTTAGGACCAACAAAACCTAAACGTAATTAAATTTCAAAATAATATTTCATAAATACGAAAAAAAAAAAGAGAAAAAGAATATTCATATTGATTTGTGTTTTAGTTCCTAATCGTTTACAACCAGATTTATCAATTGGTGAAGTAGTTCAAGTTCGTCGTCTTGAATATTTATGTCGATGTCATATATTACTTGCTTATATGACTCGTCGAAATCAACCTGAATATGAACAATTATTACAAAAAGCTTATTGGTTTCTTACACGATTATGGCAGGTAGAAAAAAAAAATCTGTTTTGTTTATCAAAAAAAAGAAAAAAAAAACAAATTTATTTATTTAGCGTGGTCTATCGGATAGTATTGAAATTAGTAAAGATGCTGAAGCTGAAGCAGCTGCGGCTGCTGCTGAAGCACAGGCAGCAGCAGCTGATGCAGGAAAAAAACAACAACAAAAAGGGGCAACCGGTGCAGACGCGAAAAAAAAACCACCAGCCGTACAAGCTGGAAAAAGTACAGATAAACAACCTGCAGTTAGTATTTTTTTTTCTTTATAAATTATTATCAATGTTATCTACTAGTTCTTCAAATAAGAATCAATAGGCAAAGCATTTGAATTATCTTTTATTAGATTGTCAATATCGTATTAAAAGTTGTGTTATCATTACACTTTGAATTAAATTTCATATCAATAATATTTTTGTTTTCATTTAAAAAACAATAAACAAAAAGTCACACGAACTAGAGAAGCAACGATGTCTGTGCATCGCTTCTAGGTAGAGCACTACATTGGTCTAAACATGTACATATAGAATAACTATGAAGACGGAAGCTGCATGATACCGTTACAGTGATCTTATATTCATATTGATTTCTCCGGTCGGAGAAAATCAATTGTAAGAACTTATCTGAATTTTATAAAACATGACTAAGGCATAAGAACTAAGCCTTTCTCAAACGAGAAAATCGAATTCGGCGAATTATTGTATCGATTCGATTTTCTGCACCTCAAATGCTTTTAGTCTATTTTTATATAATTCAGTTTATTTTCTTGACGTGACCTCCACTCACCTAAAAAAATCAAAATCAATTCAAAACTATCATATTTTTATCATGTGTTCAACGTTAGTCTATATGTACATATTTAGATGATTGCCCCAGGTGGTACGTTGAGCTAGCGAACAGTGCACGATTATCATTGTATCCCATGATGCAGTTTATCAATATTTTCTATCAAGATATTCATTGATAATTCAGATCTGATCTTATATCTTACTTATTCATTATTTTCGAAAAATAAGATTTGTTTCTATAATTTGATAAAATCTTAAATACTTACAATAGATAGTTATTTTCATATAAACTTCTATTGATTGTCTCATGCCGTTTTATAATATAATTGATCATTATTTTTTTCTATAATTTATAACAAAAAAAAAAGAAAGCTAACCTTCTATATTAAAGTTATTCTTAATTAAATAATGTTTTCTCGTATACATAAAAAATATTTATTTTGACTTTTTTTTTTGTTTTTGTATTTAAAGAATGTCAAAACTGGTACATGGGATACATCAACACCTAAAAATTTATCTGAATGGGCAATATTCGTACCTAATAATGATATATTACAAACATATACATTATCACAAGCAAAACAACGAGGTTTTAATAAAAGTACCATATCAAAACCGGTTCGAAAATATTCTTTTTTTTTTTCGCCAACATAATACATATATATATATATTTGTTTTTTTTAGCTTTTAACATTTTATTATTTGGATATGTTTGTTAGTCTTTTACGTGAATATGGTTATAATCATATGAGTTTACCTGTACTTAGTTTTATGCGACTTCTTGGTCAAATAATTTTACCAAGTTCATCTATTCGTACTTATGTCTTACTTCAGTATTATAATTTGTTTTTCATGTTGTTTTGTTTTTGTCTTTGAATAATTATTTTAAATTAGTATTCAACAAGTATGTCAAGAATTAAATCTTCTTGAATCAATGCAAATAATATGTCAATTAGCACGTCCATTTGCTATTCGAGATGATGATTTAGCTACGTAAGATTTTAATAAATAATGAAAAAAATTTTATTTTCTCTAATTAAAATGAATAAAAAAAAACAACCTATTCAATAGATCACGAGCTGAAATGATTATTTATATAAAATTACTTGCACAACAACGTGAAGAAGAAACATTATTTGAATCAGCATTAGGTAGTAGTGGATTAAAAAGTGAAGCACGATCATACGGTACATCAGCTTATTCATCGCCAGCATCACGAGCTCAAGTATAATTTTTTGTAGTTTTATAAATAAATTCTTGTATTATTTATTAATATGAATATAGGCAAGTGATCCAAAATCTTTAATAGCTGATTTACCAGGAGATCGACAAATATTAAATAAATTAATAATAAGAAATATATGGTTACAAACAGCTCGTTTATTATTTGATTTAAATTTTATACAAGAATCAAAAGAAATGTTACAAGAAATTCTTAATCAAGCTAAAGTATTAAAAACAAAAACATGTCATTTATGTTTATTTTAAATAAAATAAATTTATTTTTTCAAAGACTTATGATGATCAAATATGTGAAAAACGTGCTTATATACTTTTGGGTGAAATTGCTTTGTATGAACATCGTTTTGATCAAGCTATTGATTTAGCTATGCAAGGACAAGTAATTACAAATAGAAATAATAAAAGAGATTGTTTTTTTTTTGGAATTTTATTTAGCAAATACCAATTGATGAACATGATTGGTATCGATCAGTTATTACTGTTATTGAAGCTTTAAGACAAGATACAAATCAAGATGCATATAAACAGAAAAAAGTTAGATTATAATAGATTTTCATTTTAAAAGAAAATATCTATGAGTTTTTTGTTTGTTGTTTAATCTTATTATATATATAGATTCGATCTTTACTTGAAACATCTATTAAACGACTTGAATCAATTGCACAATTACATATTAATAAACTTATATCAATTGCTTATGCTGCTTCACTTCTTAGTACCAAGTAATATTATTGAATATAGTCGTTTTTTTATTATAGAAAATGTTGATTTAACATTTGAAATATCAATACGTGTGAGATTCAAAAGCCGAGAAGAAAATTCTCATTGAAGATTAAACTAACAATTTTAACTATTGACTAGACTATAAAAAATGATTACATCACTAGTCGACGATCTTGACTTCGATCTGTCCAGATTCTTGTAGACCGATTCTTGTCTGGCGAGGCAAGAATTATATCGTCAGGCAAGATTCTTTTCTCTTTCTTGCCCAAGAATCTTGACTGATCTCTCGAGAATTCTGAATATCTTGTGTTTCTTACTACATTCTTTATTTTCTTGGAGATCAGACAAGGTTCTTCCTTCTTTCCTTCGACAAGAATCTAGTCTGATGTTTAAGAATATATTCTTGGAAGTCAGGCCAGATTCTTGTGGAAGGAAGAAGGAAGAACCTTGTCTGATCTCCAAGAAAATAAAGAATGTAGTAAGAAACACAAGATATTCAGAATTCTTGTGAGATCAGTCAAGATTCTTGGGCAAGAAAGAGAAAAGAATCTTGCCTGACGATATAATTCTTGCTTCGCCAGACAAGAATCGGTCTACAAGAATCTGGACAGATCGAAGTCAAGATCGTCGACTAGTGATTTGAGAAAGATAGTTCCTGTTTGGTACTGTTGAGATTCGGACCATTCTTTTTTTTTTGACTTGATTGATATTCACTGATTGACCTGACAAATCCATACAGTATGGGTGTGTTAAAACCTCAGTGTACATTGATCTTGTGTAGTCAGTAAACTCAATGTCAGAATTATAGTATAATATTTCTAAAAAACTTTGGTACACTCATTCATTTATTTCTATTGAACTAAATGATTGAGATAAATTAGTACAAGTTTAGAAATAAAATAAAATTTTTTATTAATTATTTAATTGTAGATTTAAATTTTTTAACTTTTATTTAGTTTATGAATATACCATTAGTCTACATTCAGATTCATTCGAATATAAGAAACATATTTAGTTTTTTGAATTAAAAAAATAAAAAAACAAAATGTTGTTCGAATAGATGAAAAAAATAATTGAAATATTATATGAGAAATACTTAGAGTATCATTCTTTACAATTCATATCTATAAGAATTTTGACTTCATTGATACATGCTAATGTGACAGAAAATGATAAAAATTAGAAGCGAAAAGTTGATTATCGAAGTTCTCTTTAGTAGAACTACTATCATTCTCATAGAATCATATAGACTCAGGAACAAACATTTTAATTTAACATAATACGTCTATTCAAATTTAGAAAAAATTTTGAAACATTGGTTTTTTTTTGTCTTAAAGACGAATCGAAGTTGATCTAAATGAAATCTTAAGTGAACCAACAGTTAATACCATTGATAATAAACAAGTATTCTATCGTTTATATGAAATTCTTCAACAATATGATATATCTTTTAATAATATGCTTAATCTTGATCGATATAATGATGCTTGTGAAATAATGCTTACACGATCAATACCAATTTGGAAACGTTTTGCACGTGATACAAAAAATCAAAATGAACAAAAAAAATATTTATGTCAAGTACTTAATATACTTGAACAATTAACAGAAATACTTGCTGAACGTTGGTATTTAATACGAATAATAACATCACAAAATGATGTAAGAATTAATATTTTTTTTATTTAAAAGATAAAATTAAATAAAATAATCATTTATTATTCATAGTTATCATCAATTCAATTACCTATTCAACGTCAATTTATTCGTGTACAACTTGAAATTATTAACATATTACTTGATCTATTAAAAATTTCAGCATATGAAATGTTTAATGAACGTTTAAGACGAAAAAAAACTCATGCTACATATTTAGTAAGAAATAAATGTATAAATATATTTTAATTTATTATATATACTTAACTAATAGGCTGTACAAGATTTTGTTGGTAAAAATGAACCAACAGAAGAACATAATGATGAAAATACAAATAATATCAAATGGGATGATATGATAAAGTAATTTAAAATAATTTTCACTATTATTTTATTTTTTATTTCAATGAAGAAAATCTTACAATTGAAAAATTGTTTTTAAATTGAAACTATGTAGATCCAAATGAGTTGTAAATACTCTTAAAAGAGTTCGTATCCATAGCTTATTGCTACCATGAAGTTACCTTTTTACTATATTGTTTTAAATGAATGCTGATGTTCATTTCAAGAAAACTGATTTTCTAATTTCGTTTTTAAATATTACACAAGGATAGATCTTTATTAGAGTAGATTTTTTTGTTTTGCAAAAATAGTTCCTACCCAGTGAAAAATATTTGCTTCCAAGAACGAGAAAGAATGCGTTCCGTAAAATTAAAAGCCCTGTTTTTTAAGAAAAAAAGTCGTTCCAACAGAAGTAGAAAGCGTTCCAAAATGGAGCCATTAAGAACATATTCCATGTTTTTTGAAATGCGTTCTTAACTGTTCTAGCTTTTTTGGAACGTTTTCTTTTCTAAAAACAAAAAAAAGCTAACTTTTTTTGGAACGCATTCTTGGTCGTTATTGCCTGAATTTAGATTCACTATAAGAGTTCTTGAAGAAAAGTTCAGACATAATTTTTTGAAAGATCGATTCTGGTGCAACTCAACGAGCTCTAATTTTTCGTAGCTCAAACTGTTATTAAAAAAAAAAACACTTTTTTTTCAATCAGGACTGCCAGTTGTAAAATATGACTAATTGAAGGTTTCACCATTTTTGGCACCAGTTTCAGGGTGTCATACTTCAGAGCTGTCATTTTTGAATCAAAAGTGACGTTAAATTCAGATAAAAGCATTCATCAGTCAAAAGAATCTATTCTCAGGTGTTTCTCAAGAGAATGTTAAAAAAAGCGATCTCATTTCGATGGAATCCTATCTTGAGTGTTTCGAAATAGAATGGGCAGAGACACGTTCTATTGGCTTATGGAACGGTTCAGAACGCTTTCTATTCAGATAGAGAACGATTTTTGAACTGAGAAGAAAGCATTCTAAACTAGTATGGAACAATAAAGAATGAGTTCCTCTAGATTCGGAACTTTTCTTTTTGTTTGTAAAAACGTTCGCTAAGCTGTAGAACACATTCTTCATGTAAAAGACAAATCTCTACATTTTTATGAATGCGTTCTCTTCCGTTATTTTTAGAAATATTTTTCACTGAGTATTCTAAGATATAGCTATGATAAAAAACTTTTATTTTGTATCACTTACATAGTTTTGACTTAAAAGTAGTTTATCAGTTGAGAATACTTTTCTCATTAATTCAGAACGATTACTCTAATCGAATATTATTTAGAGTTTTACCAGATAAATTAATAACTTCAATAATGGCTGTTCTTGAAATAATTGATACAACTGATAAAACAACAAAAGCAAAGGTTTGATTTAATGATTAAAATCAAATATAATTTTTCTTCTTCTTTCTTTTTTTTTAAATATAGGTCTTATTTTATTTAGCTCAAGTTTATTCAATACTTGGTCAAAATTTTGGTACAGATTATCCACTTGAATGGAATATGAGAATTAAAGTTTGCTTTTTTATTTTGAATAATAAGAAATTAAAAACAGAAAAAAAAAGAACATACAATTTTTTTTTTCTAGGATATATTCAGTAAATTAAATGAAATACCAATAGACAAAGCAGCACTTAAACGAATGGGATCACAAACTAGTTCGAATTTAAATCAAACAACAACATCTTTTGATCATGAATCAATAACAGATGATTTATTAACTGAATTTATTCGAGAAAAGGTTCATAATAATTTTAATTATTGTTTATTTATTTATTTATTTGCTTTTAGATGGAATTAAATCAATCAATGTCATATCTTAGTCAATCAATGGAATTAGCATTACAATCATTGAATATAGCTTTATCTATTCAAGATAAAATACTTATTCGTGATTGTAGTTTATTACTTTGTGAAACAGTTGGTCAATTTGATCCAATATCAAGTATTACATATTTAATATTGAGTCAAGTATAAATGAAATTTTTTATTTAATATCTATTTCTATTTTTTCTAATCTTCTATATAGAATGCAAGTGCTTCAATTTATACAGAAAATATTTTGAAACGTGCATGTCATATTACAAGTGATTCAGAACTTGCTTCATTATTTATATTAATTAATCGAATAAAACAAGATGAAACTATTACAAATGCAAATAATGGTATTATATATCGAACAATGATGGATCGATTAAAAACCTATTGGGTAATATAATAATAATAATACTTCATATTGAATATAATTCTTTAAAAAGAAAAATTATAACTATTGATAGTTATCATTTTTAGTACAATTCTAGGTTTTTAGTCTTGTTATTTATAACTTGATATTGATGTTTAGAAGTAATTAGAAGTATTCGAATATTAATATAGAAGTCTAAATAGTTATTTCAATCATTGAATTGTTAGTCTAAGAATTATTCGACATTGTAGTCCTATCATACTTTTCAAACAAATTTTTTATATTTTAAAATTAAGTTTAAATTCTTCATTGCTAATCTGAAATATGATTTGTATCATATATGAAACTTCTGATATTTCAATAAAATCATAATTAGAATTATTCACTATATAAGACATAGAAATTTGGTCGAGTATTCTGTAACTTTAAGTCATTTGCAAAAGTATTTATTTAGAAGATTTATTGATTTTTTTTCCGTTGTGGAAAATATTTGAAACTTATGTTATTGGCATAAGCATATAATCATTGAAATAGAACAATAAATATTTTTCATATGTTGTGAAAGTCTCATCATGTAAATCTCCACAAAAATGAACTTAATAATATTTTTACTTTTAATTCAGAGATGAGCTCAAGGCACGTGTTTTTTGTCTTGTCTTACACAACACGACAGTCATTATTTAGTTCCTATCAAGTATTTGATTCTGTCTAACTGAAAAGGTTAGCGTGAAAATTTTAACCAACAATTGATTGATTGCTTTGACTTAATATAAAACAGATGAGAATTCATGCATCCTGTCCTGTGTTTAGTTCTATTTGAATATACTGGGCTCAATATATCCAAAAGACTATCCTATTACCAGTGTGTATCAAGAACTTTGGATTTTTTAGCAATTAATTTCAACATATAGAAACTATACAAGTAGCTAAACGAGTGTTTGACTAGTAGAGTGCACTGGATATGAAATTTTTTCATCCGAATCCAGAACCAACAGAACAGACTCTATTGATTAGTACGGATATACTGAGACAACTCTCAGCAGGGTACTTTAAACTTAGTAAATTAATTAACGGGTGGGCCGAAAGTTTTGAGACAAAATGTTTGTCCATTTTTCATCACATCAGAATTATTGTAGAAGGATGCAAAAAGGTGGACAAGAATTAGAATTTAATGCTCTTTCCGAATATGAGTTCAGAAATTTTGTGCCTATTTTTGTTTGGAAGCAATGAGGAAATCATTGAATTGCTTTGAAAGTTAGTTTGGACAAAAATATGTTTTGTACATTTTTGTATTTTTACTGTTCTAATTCGAAACTTAATGTTGTAACTTTGGTTCATATATCAGATTGTAGAGCAAATTCTGCCCTACAAAATACGCTATTTCAGTTTCTTTTTATTTTCTTACAAATCATCTAAATTTTCGTTTCCTTATTACCCTCATTTTTGAAAAATCGATTTTTTAACCAAAATCCATCTCATGTAAAAATAGCTTCTCAGAAAATGTCTATAATTTTACTTGTATAAAAGCTATATTGGAGTTCGACATCTCATTTTGTGGAGGACTGTCTGCTCTACAAAATTACCATACTCAACCGTTTTTAGCATCCTCGCATAGGACTCACAGAAGAAAAAAAGCCGATGTGTTCATTAACCAATCCAATTTTCGGGCATATTCAAAGATTGTCTCACTACTCTCGTACAAAATCAAATACAAATTTTTTGAGCCCATATTCAGAAAGAGCACAAAATTCCGATCATAACCTGTACTTTTCATTCGTCTACAATAGTTTTACGTAGGGCAAAAATAAAGAGAATATTGTCCAGATGATTCGACTCAACCATTTTGTCCAGACTATTTTTTTATGCCTTTCAAAGATTTTCTTGCTTCTCCCTTACAGAAATAGATATAGAATTTCTGAACTTATATTCTGAAAGAGCATTAAATTCTGATCCTTACCCACCTTTTCGCATTCATCTAGAATACTTTTGAGGTGGTGAAAAGTGGACAAACATTTTGTCTCAAAACTTTCGGCCCACCCGTTAAAATGAACATTCATATGTTTTAATTGATTTTTTCTTGAGAAAAAGATCTCTTAATAATTTTAGCCATGGAAATACATGACAATTCGACCACAATATTATGATTTAATAAAAGATATGCCAGCATCATTCAATTTTCTTATTTTACATTATTCATCAAATAGGTTTGTTAATATTTTGTTAATTCTAATAAACTTAAATGATTTAATTTTTTTTTGTTTTTAAATTTAGTGATATACTCTATGCAGCTTTATTCAATAGTAAAATGTCAAGTGGAAAAGGAACAATATCAACAGCAGCTACTAAACAAACGAATCCAAAATCGATCGGTTTGATACTTTTTTTCAAAATCTTCTAGAAAAATTTTCAAAAGAAGAAAAAAAAAAACCAAACAAAATGAATTTTTTAAATATTTTAGGTTCAACTGGTGGATATATAAGTCCTCAAATAATGAAAATAAATGTTGATAAAAATAAATTAAATAATCTAATCAATAAATTTAATCAATGGAAACAAGAATATTCTCAAATTTTACAACGATATGATATTAAACTTCAATATAGTCGAAATAAACAAGTTATGCTTAATTCTGAACAAGTTAGTTCAAATATTAACTTTAACTAAGAATATTTATTTTTCTAAAGCAAATATATCTAATAGATTAAGTCAAAACTTTTTAGACCAAATTTTCCTTCATGTCTTTTTGCTTTTTGATTGATTAAAATTAGAAGTTATAAGAAAAACTTTGAAAAACGGATTTAAATGTATAATAAAACACTCAAGATTGAAATAGAATATATTTCAAATACATCAATAGAAAGATTCAAAATATGATACAGTCAAGAGAAATACGGTTAAACGAAATAGACGACTCTCAGATCAGTTAGGGGAACTGTCTTCGTTCAAGTTGTGTTTCCTCAGATACATAGCCTCTAAGTTGTGAAATTATAAACCTAGGCTCAGCAAGAACACATATTCTCCTAGTCATCTTAATCAGTTAAAAAATTAACATGAAGGAATATTTTTTTCTAAAAAAAAAAAAACTTTCGACTCATTCATTATACAAATAACAAGAATATTTTAATCAATAGATTTAATTTTAGGTTAAAAAAACTTTATTATTCAGCAATATTAAATTAAATATTTTACAGGTTATTGCAATATTATCTATTCTTATTCACATTATGAATAAATTTTTTATTGAAAAAATAAATAAATAAATGCAATTCGAAAATATTGAATCATTGTTTGTCTTCTTTTTGTGTTTTGTCGATTCCCTCATATTATTATCATCTGCACTCGTTTCATATATAAATAATTTTTTTTTTCTTTTTATACACAAAAAGAATATTTTTCTATTATGATATTCATTGTTTTTTGTTTTTAGTCTGATCCAGTTGATATTAGTTTAATAAATGAATTTAAACAACGTTTTATGCATGAATTTGTTATTGAATTAAATGAATATTTTTCGCCTATAAGTTCATTACTTTCAAATTATCTTGAGTAAAAAAAACAAAAGAAAAGATCTCTTTTTTTAAAAGCATAATTTGTTTTTTCTGTTTCGTTTAAAAATTTAGATCTGAAAAACAATATGAACTTCGAACATCAATTAGTTCAGATCATCTTATTCTTCTTGTTGATCCACGTCTTGCAAATTTACCACTTGAATCACTTGAAATATTTAAACATATTCAAATTGGTGGAATCTCACGTGATTTTTCTATTCAATCGATTTATTATCGTCTTAATCCAAATATTTCTCTTGATGAAAGTACGATGCCAACTGATGGTAAGCTATCAAGTTCATATTTAAAAAAATAAATCACATTGAAAAGAATCAAACAATCATTAATATAGAAAAGAAATGCATAGATATGTGAACTCTCATTAATATTCTTAGAGCTCATATATATTTCTCAAAGGAAACGGGAGTAGAAGATTTAAACCGAAGTGTTCCTGCTCCTCCCTATCCTATTTTAGGCTTAAGTAACAGAGGAGTGTTTCACGGTTCACGATCGATGTATATGTTCATTCTAGTAGTTCAAGTCAACAGACTCCTTCTCAATATTTATTTACTAAGAGTAGAAAAAAAAAGTTTCCGACAGCATTATATAAGACTATGGTTATTTTGGAACATGTCAAAGTGTTTCTTGACATTTTACTCGATGAAATATGTTTGTAAATGTCGCATTTTCTCATAGACTAAACAAATTACGTTCAACATGTCAAGGATTATAGTGTTGTATTGATTTACCTCAGCCATTATATAATCAACATTAACTGATCAAATTATAAGTTCAGGAAATAATCAATATTAGTTTTTCTGAGTTCATCGAGATACATACTAATATGATAAGACTTTCAGTGATTAAATTAGTATAATGAGACTAACAAATACATGTGAGTTCTATATTTTAGCTTGTTTATAAATTTGCATAAATCAAAAATTTTCTTATTTGTTTTTTTTTTTCTGAAACAATCTCTTCTTGTATTCTCATAAATACAAAACCTATTAATTTCTATTAATTTCAAATATAGTAACATGTGATTCATGATTTCGATGATCTAAACATTACACATAATAAAAAGAAGAATATCATTAATAGTAATTTAAAATATAATGAAAGTTTATATTATAGCAGTAAAATAGTTAAAAGAACAAAAAGTTCGTTCTTCTTTTTAATATTTTATAAATGTATTATCATCTATTACGATGAATTACAAAATTAAAAAAAAAATAAATTTAACATATGACGGATATTTCATGTCTTCAGAAATTTATTTCAAATTAATAAAATATATTTGAATTTTAAATGATTTTGATATTTCATTTCCTTTTCTATGAAATATACTCAATTATAAATCGAACTCACTGAACTATGAAACTCATCGCTTATTAATTTGAATATATTAATTAAAAAAAAAAAAAAAAAAGATAATAAAATCCATATTTTTATTCTATTTCAAATACATGAAAAAATTTATGATTTTTTTTTAAATAATAGATAACAAAAGCAAGAAAGGTGGTGCGAAAGAAGTAAGTATTTAAATTTGATAATTATATTTGGTATTGAAAAATATATCATATAATAAGACGACTGGTGAAGTGACAAGTGATTTACAAGTAGTTGATGCGGCGAATACTTATTATTTAATGGAACCAGTTTTAGTTAAATATGCGACTGGTAAAATTGAAGAAGAAAAATAAATTTTTCTTTTTTTTTTTTTAAATTTTTTCAATTAATAGAAAATAAAACATCGACACCATTCGATTTACTTCGACAACGATTTCCTCAACTTATTGCTAAATGGAAAACAATTAAACAAGAAGGAACAACATTAAAGTAAGAATTAAAAATTTTTAATAAAGAATTTTGTTTTATATGTATTTTTATCGAAATCTTCTAATATTTTCTTCTAAAGATAATAGAGATGATCTTCGATTAAAGCTTCATTCTTATAGATATAGATGTCACAGTTGACATGAGAATTTCAGTTGAGTTTGGAATGCGCGAAAAAAAATATAGAAAAAAAAGAGAAAACAAAATTAAATATAAACATAGATTTGAAGATAGAAAAAAGAGAGAGAGCATAAAAAATAAAATCTTTCTTTTTTTTCATCAATAAATCTATTTGATTCAAATTGAATATTATTACAATATTATGAATGGATTTTTATAAAAGATTTATAATATTCATTCTTATTTCATTTTACAAAAGAATATTTCATTTTCGTTGTATTCGTAGGGCTATATATAGTTGGTATTTATTAAAATTGTTTTGATTGGTATTAATAAATGAACAATTCATAAAATTTTACATTTGAAAATATTTTTATCTATGAAATCTGTGTGACAACCTCAAGATAGTCTATTTTATATTTTCTTATTAGATGTTCGTTTCTACGAAACGAAGATTCAGTCCTATGGCTATGACAACTTTTCTAATTAAGTTATTTCATTTATTGTTTCATTTTTAGCTTATCAAATTTAACTTTATGGAAATATTTATTTCGAAATTAAAGTCATACATCAACAATGTTGATGAAAAAAAAAGAGAAAAATATACGATTAACAATGACATGTGTTCCAAAATGATTAAAGTTTTAAAACGTGAAGATATAGCTGTGTCTCCAAAATTTAAATTCTGGGTTCACCATACATTCTGTTTAATGGAAATCGGATTAAACGAAGTGATATATAATAAAAAATCTAATTTTCCATTGATAACACAAGAGAACATGTGCGAGAAGATTAAGGATTGTCATACAACCGTCGGTCATTCTATTAATTTACTTTGGAGCCATTTTTAAATTTCTTTTTCATTTAATTAGTTCGGTTGACTTATTTCACACTTGAACTAATCTTGTTGATCTAATACCTCACCTCTTCCTTCTTTAGCGCACCATAAAATTATTCATCAATTCCAACACATATTCCATAAACTTTTTATCTCACTTTAAATGAATCGATCTGAAAACTTACTTTTATATCATTTACGCCCACACCATTCACCATCATCTTAAACAAAAATTGACTATTTTTACTTGATGTATCATTATATATGACTATTTATTCCATACGAAAAAAAATGATTAGTATCATCCAATATTTAATAAAGCTTTAGAAAAATATCGCTTTTCACATGCCAAGTCAACTGCTCGAAACTTTTAAACAATTCAATTGATTCATTCTGCATTACAAAAATACTTTATCCAGTTCCTATATTTTAAACTAACATCAAATAAAATTATTTAATAAAATTATTTTTTGAAATAAAAAAATCAAATCCGATCAGTATTTAAAAACAATTATTTTTTACAATCTACCAAATATTAAACAATGAGAAAAGCCTAACTAAATATTAAATTATATTTTGCATCTGAAATTCGATTCTTCTCAATTTAATTATAATCCTACTGATCGACTACTCTGTAACAAATTAATCAACTCGCTAAAAATCGAATAACACGCATTTTAGAATAATATAATTAAAAGAAAAAAAAAGTTCATGCCCCGCATGTCTCGCTCATCGAAAAATTTATCTGTTTCCAAAGAAAAAAATTCTTTTTTTTTAAATAGAAATCTCAATGTCCCGCATGTCCCATTAATCAAAAAATCTATCTATCTTATAAGAAAAAAAATAAATTGTATATATTCATTTAATACAAATTTCAATGTCCCGCATGTCCCGCTGGTCGAAAAAATCTATCTATCTTATAAGAAAAAAAAATTGTATATTTTTATCTAATAGAAATTTCAATGTCCCGCA